CAAAAAAGGAAATAATAACAATGCAAAGTGACTAACCACACCAAAATCATATAATTATGTAATTATACTACTGTACATGTAACAAAATAAAAATATACTTTAAAGGAACCATTTATAATATCTAACACACGTTTTTATATCACATAGTACATAAGATACCAGGCTATTGCAGTCTAGAACTTCAACCTCATTGAGCAGCCTCTAAATATGGTCCAAAACAGATGAAATTTGATGTTTAATGTGTTTTTGTACATTGGCACACAATTAGGAGATAAGAATTTTTAACCTGAAATTTTACCTGCAAATAAGAACCACCTAGTGTACACACAGTTAAAAATGATGAAATTACACTGCAAGACCAAGTTCAAAATTAATTTTTTAAAGATAACTGTTACTAGGATGTTTGAAATACCTACTCACTCAGTCTTTCTTTGTTACACAAGAATTTAGAAACATGCATTTTTCAAGAGAAACCTCACTTACCAATATACAAAACATACATTCCACCAGACTTCTGAGCTGCCTTGTAAGTCCCAATCTAAAAAAAAAAGTTCTTTTTGAATTTTTCATTTTTTAGGCTGAAAAAAATTATATTATGTAAATAATATATCATCTTGGAAATAGCAAATGGACAAATAATTAAGATTGTAGAAAACGTCACTATAAAAGCAAATTGTAAGTCACTGGAGGTTACTGGCAGAAAAAAAAAATCTCAGTGTCACATACCCTTACTGAATATGGTCAATGGATAAGTGAATTTCCAAGAATTGTTTTATCTTCAATTTCATACTTTTAATATACTATCATATTTTATAATTTTTATGATATTTCCTATATGAACAACAAGTTAATGGAAAAAAATACTTAATCATAGATTATCATAATGTGGTTTTCCTCATTAATGAGGAAATCAAATAAAAGAAATTACTCTTTATAAACATAAAACACAAGATAACCTATGTCAAGTAATTTATTATCTGTATGTGTGCATATTGAAAAAAAAAGTTGATTCTAGAGATTATGTTGTAAGATGAAAATAAGTATTTATATTCTTGACATGAAATTCACTTTTCACTCAGTTACACAGTAAAGACTTCATAAATTCACAGAGAAATTATAGCAAAAATACTTTATTGCAATATTTCATTTTATATGTACAAGAAACTTGTATTGTATACCAAAAGTTTGTCAAATTTCGTGAAGGTACATACATTTACTATTTTCAGAGTTATAGTGCATATAGTTTCATGATTACAAAGTAATTCCAAGGTGGATTTAATCAACCATCTTTGAACTTAGAAAGTTAATGTATAACAAACAAGAAGTAAATTTACAGTTGCTTACCGTTACTCCCAATGATATAGTCAAAAACATCATCGCTAATAATAGACATATAAAGCCTCGTCTACGAGCAAATTCTGAACCAGCAGTTGAACTGCAGAAATACACAAAAAATGTGATAATCAATATGAGCTAGAACATGCTTTTTATTTAAATGATATTATTGCCTTAAAATTTATAAATATTTTCACTAAAAGTTCAGTTATTTTAAGGACTGTCTGAAACCTAAAAATTATCAGTTAATATATATTTTGAAATATAACCTGTACAAAATATTTGGAAACTAAAATTAATACAAGTTATGGCAATATTAAAGCCATATAACTGCCACTATTTCACTCAAGACTTAAGGTTAAATTTTCAAGAATATATAATACTACAGTTATATAAAATATTGGCATATTTTTGCAATTTGCTGTTGAGGCTTGAGTCCTGCAGAACTTTCATTTAAAATTATATCTTTTAAAAAATAGCCTACCATGCATACTCACACTTTTCTGCAATGAGGACAACGTGCCAATGCATTGTTGAGGGTGTTGAACTGTGAAACAAAAATCATAACTATCAATTATACAACAATCATAAGCTCAATAATGGTCATACTTAGAAGTTGCTGTACTGAAAAATTGCATGGAGAAAGAAAAGCTTGAGGAATTTTAAAATCATAATCACAGATACGAGTTCTTACTGTGTAGTTCCTTTTAACTACCTCCACAGTAAAAGTCAGTAAATATTCTACAAACATTTAGTTATGTTACCTTTGGACACAGTGCATATAATTTGTTAAGGTAAGTGATATACCATTATATCATTGTAAAAAATGTGAATACAGAATATCTTGTGTTCTTTCATCAAATCTCTCTGTCACATTTTGACTAAAGTTAGTGTCTTTCAAAACATTTTATATTTTTATCTAATAAGGCCAAATATTAAATAGATAAATACTTGAGTTAAAAAATTTAATGATGAAGGCTGGAGTAAGAAATTTTAAGTAAACTACTTTATACAAGCCTCTGGGTTTCTTAGAAAAAAATTTAAATTGAAAAACGTTTCTACAAATAGCAAAGTCACAACAAAAATTGGATATAACAGAAGCTCTTTTAACTTAGTATATACAAAACTTAATATCAAATTTTAGTTTGAAGATTGTACTCAATACAGTGATTCATATCTCTTACAAAAATGTTAATATTCATACCAAAAAAATCCTCTGGCAATGTCCACATGCTATCCGACACATTCCAGGAACATGAGATGAAGGTGGGGTGACAGGACTCTGAGCCAGATTGATAATCTTTTTACTGATAATAAGAGTAAAAATGAAATACTAATTTAAAGATATCACTTCAGCATTCCAAGTTCAAAGTTATCTCAAATTTTTGTTATTAAATTTATAATTAAAAATTAGGCCTCAGTCTCTTTTTCTTTTTTAAACTAGAGTAAGGCATTTTAATTTAAGATATTAAAGGTTTGTCTTATCTTACTCTTGATAAGTCTTCCTTTTCTCTTGATTATGTTTTACAAATTTTCCTTTTCACTTTTTTGGGAATGAGGAAATGAAAAGGAAAATTCATAAAATATAACTTAGTTTGTCAGGGATACAGCCCAGAATTAACTGTGGGGATCAAAATATAAGTAGGTCACTAGGGCTAAATGCTAGTTAGTATGTAAGGATGAGCAGATTGTCTGGTTGGACTTGTGGGATCAGTTCAGTGGAAGAAGGGACTTTTTTTGGAATGGATGGTATACATTTAAAATAGGGTAGGAACTGACGTGTTTGCTAAGGCTAGTAACTCAGCTGTAAGGGAAGTTTTAAACTAGGACCAGATAGTGGTGAGGGCTGGGATAAACTAAATGCAAAAATAATAAAAGGCAGAGGAAAGATTAGCATAGAAAATGAGTATAGAAGTAGTTATAAGAACAGATTTAATTGTTACTATTGTAATGCTAGAAGTATAAGAAATAAAATGATGACTTTAGAGCACTGGTAGGAATGGAGGATTTTGATATAATGGGAAAAAATGACACATGGTTAAACACAGATGATTTTTGATGACAGAAATTTCTTTGAAATACAGGGCTACAGGCTATTTAATAGGGATAGAGTACTAAAGAGAGGGGAAGAGGAGGAGTGGCTTTGTATGTAAAATGTGAGGTTACATCCTGTTGAAGTTGAAGATATCAAAGATAATAACAAGGAGATTGAATCCATTTGGGTTTTTATTAGTGGATATAAAAGGAAAAGGCTTTTAGTGGGAATTTGTTACAGACCACCAAATAATATTGATGAATTAGTGAGACACTTTACAATAAGATTAAGATTTCAGCTGTTAATGAAGTCATAATTATGGGTGATTTTAATTTCAGGCATATAGATTGGGAAATGCTACAGTCAAACCATGAGAGAGAAAGGTTTTTGGAAACTGTTCAGGATGGCTTTCTTAATCAATTAATCAAGGAACCTATTAAAAACAATGCTATTTTTAATTTATTGTTAACTTCAAATATAGAAATGATGAAGAGGGTGAAAATTTGGGAACATCTGGGTACAAGTGATCATTGCTCTATTAGGTTCGATGTTATGCTGCATATGGAGATAAGAAATAATGATATTTTGTTAACAAATTTCAAAAAAGCAAATTTTGAAGGGATGTGACAAGAATTATCTGTTGTGAATTGGGTAGCTGAGTTATTTGGAGACACTGATCACATGTGGAAAAGTTTTGAAGATAAATTTTTGAATATTCAAGGTAAACATATTCCTTATAGAAAGAAAAGGGTAGTTGCAAGTAAAAAATGAGGTTAGCTAACAAAGAGTATAAGAGATAAAATCTCATGTATTAATTTGTAATAGTTTTATTTCATAAATAGGCCACTTTTGATGTCATAGTATTTTATGCAAAACATGTAAAAATATCTGATTTGTCAAAATGGCAAAATTGGATATATATATATATATATATATAGCATTTTGCATCTGAGTTTTTCATGTGTGTAGAGGACATTATATCTAACAAACAATGGCATAGGAAGGCAAAATTGCACAGGGGCATTAAAGTTATCTATCATGTAGATGCAAAATCCACAATTGTCAATGTTTCCACCAGGGGTGATTACTTTTACATATTTCCCATGGGTATAAATGGGCCTACTGAATATGGTGCAGCTCATTCAATCAATATGGAACCGGAAAGTGTGTAGAGAGATAAACTAATAAAATATTGTTAGACAAAAAATATGCAATGCAATGCTGAGGCACCTCTCTGAGAGTATTGTAGAATGCATGACAGCTGTAGAGGGCCTTGTTCCAATGTTGCTACGCACAAATTCATAGAAAAATCTGCCACATGTAAAACCACCTGCAGGTACTAAAACTATTGCTAAAGACAAGCCATGCTATAACAGCACAAGTGCAAATTTGTGCAGCAGTGCACAATATGTCACCAGTGTGTGGATTTACCAATTTCAATCATATGCAAAATTCTTTGGTCAACTTTGCAAATGTTTCCTTATATACCACATCATGTCAAAGCATTAAAGGAGACAGATTTTAACCTAATGTGTTTATTTTGCATTGAAATTCTGGGCAAGACTGGAATTGAATGACTGTTGAAGCATACTTTACCTTTCTGGAAGTTTCAACACATGCAACTGCATTATGTGGTTGGAAAGTAATCCAACATTTCCTTCACATCTCCATGAAGCTAAGGTAACACAGTGGGGTGGGGTTTTACAGCTCTCTTTGTTATTGGATCATAACTTTTTTGAAAAACCATCAGTATATGGGCTACAAACCTGCATAGTCAATGCTTCACAATAGTATGGAAAGGTCACAACCAATGTAATCCCCATGCTGCATGAATAAAATGTGAATGACACTATGAATTTTATGCAGGACAGTGTCCCTATACTTATGAGTATGCAGATGAAACCATCTAGTTTGAGCACTTTCAGGACAGAATCATTCAACATGCAACAACTGTGAAATTTGCACCCATGCGATAAACTTAACACCCTTGTGCTGTTTTCTGTACCATGTCATTTGTGAGCTATAACATGCCAAACTGTGAACCTTTCTTTAAACTTAATCTGCATTATATATTTGTATAGGTTATGAAAAATATTTACATCTGATCTATTCATTCTAGTTTCAGACAACAGAAAGAATATAGCAAAAAATGATCCATGTTTCAATGTTTATCTTATGAAACAGACCTTTTAAAAATATTTATGTATTGTTATTTTACTAACTTTCAAACAATACTCTGCATACTCTACCTTTGTGCTGTGTATACATAATATTTAATATAGATACTATGATAGTTACACACATTTTTATTCCCTTTTGAATAAAAACAAAATCCTAAAAATTATATATTTCTTGTGTGTGTGTGTTGTGAGACAAGAACTGGTCAAATAGAATTTAAAAAGGACAAATAATTTTTCTAGCATTTCATCCCCTGGACAGCTTTATTGCAGACTATGCAACTTGCAGTACAAGTTTATTTCAAATTAAATACTTAATTCAGACCCATTTGATAAAATGATCAAATAGTTGAAGGTGTTCAAAACACACCTTCATTACTTCCCCCTTAAGATATCAGTCCAACAAATTTCATTCATCCCAAACAAAATATTTCTCACCCCTGAAAGCAAAATAGATCTAAAATATGGAAATGTCAAAAAAAAGAAAATGTATATTTATTGGCTATGAAAATGGTGTCTCACATCAAAAGTTAAACCAGGTATTTAATCTACTTTTTTTTCTAATTTTTTTCATATACTTGACATTTCACTAACTTTTAAGTTTATTTGTACATGTAGCTTAGACTAGTTACCCATTCCTGAATAATCCATAACCTCTTCATTATATACATACCAATTTTGTCGAGGGCACGCAATTCTCTGAGAAGTAGCTTTACATATCAACAAACAGTTACAAGGACACCGCACATACTTCTTTCCTGGTGGAGCATTCTTAATTGGCTGAAATAATGATTAAATTTAAGCATGAAAAATATTTTACTATAAAAATTTATGTCAAGTTTTAGTACCTTCTTGTTTGGCAATTACTTTTTAGTCTTGATATCTTACTGGGCTTGATGTTTTGGTTATTTTTGAGGATGATGAAGTGAACATTGATGGGCTGAATGGCCTTTTATCACCTAACACTTGCAGTATTTATTTTTTGCCAAACCCTATGTTTATATATCATTGCTTTTAATTTCCCTGATACAAAATGTATTTAATATACTTATAATGCACTGCAAACCAACAGGAACCACACCTCAAAAATTATTTACTGCAATTATGGTATTGTTAGCCCTATTGTAACTCTGGTAATAATTCTCTATATTTCAAATAAATGATGCACCTTTAGTATTTTACTACAGGCAGATGGAGCAAAATTTGTCCATCATCTAAAAAGAAAAATATATATTATGTGTGTGTTAAACTTTACAGTTGATCAATTTAATTGATTAATCAACATAATGAATTACTTATGAGCAGCAATTATATCCATTAGTGCCTTGTAAGCTAATTGATTCACTGAAATTACAATTAAATTGATTGTCACAAAAATAATCAATTAATCAAAAAATAGAGATTCTGATTATTTACTGAATTTGATTATTCCAATTATCCAAGTAATCAAAATATTGGCATTATATTTGTTGTGATGCACAATTAACATAACATGGAGCTCTCGTGATTTATTTTTTTTTAGGGGGGAGGGGTCTTGAGCTCAATTCCCATTGCCACTAAACTTACTCACCCTGTCTTTTTCATTGAAAAGTTACTTGAAATATCTGTCACTATCTGTCATAGAAAAGACAACTGGCTAGCAGCACCAACTCTTGCTAACTAATTGTTAAATAAAGTATAATTAACAGTAACTTACTGGGGTTTCTTTGCATTGTGCTATGTTTTTAATTTATAATTGCATAACTGTATTCTTTAATGTTGTACAAGCAGGCAGTAATCTAGAAGGTCTGGACCCCTCCATTTTTAACAACAATTCTTTAACATTGTATAAACAGCCACGGATCTAGGGGAGGGAATACAGGAGCCAAACCCCATCATCACATTTTTTCCAGAAATTAATAAATCTATTGTTTAATGTTGTGTGTATACACACACACACACACACACACATATATATATATATATATATACACACACACATATATTAGCGGGTTATATTAGTCACATTACTAGAAATAAAAATATAAGCTTGAAAATTGCTGGATTATAACCAGAGTTATTCAGGTTACTTACAGAATATATTAACATTATTTTGAATTTGACTTATTTAGATTACTTTAGGACTATATGGTCAATAATGGTCAATCCAAAATGCTGTACTATACTTCTTTCATGTTAAAAATACCAATAATTCAGTTATATTGTTACACAGCTAACTTTTAAAAAGTTACCTGAGACCATACTATTGTGAAAATGAAACATTAATGCAACTGGTGTGGAGAAGTTAAAATGTTGTTACTTGTTATCAGAATAATAATATATTATATGAATAGACTTTTTAATTTTATTTCTATCCACTCCCTAATGGTTTTCAAACTTTGTAAGATAGTTATAACTAACAGAAGTTTTATTTTACAAAATAAGATGATGTTATTCTAAATTTTATGTTGTTTGATCTTAAATATGTGCTATTTCCCTCATAAATAAAATGAGTTATGACTATTCATTTCCCTTGATTGATTACAAAGCTTTTGTGTTTAACGGTGTAGTTAAAGATACAACACTTAAGGCCCCAACATTATCATAAACTAGGGATGCTGAATTATGTTTAATGTATTAAGGATTCAAACGTTTTGGAAAAACATTTTTAAAAGCTCAGACATCATTACGTTAGTTTTTAAAAAAAAATGAAACTGAGAAAGTGCTATTATTTTCTTGTAAAAAACAAATACCACAAATTTCTGTAAATTCTATAAATACAAAAAATGGTGAAGTAATAGAACTTTAACTGTAAGGTAGTTAGTGTGCTGATTTTGAAAAACATATATTATATAAATGCACAAAAGTTTAATGATACTTAAGAAACAAACAAAAAATATATACTTACTGTAGCCTCATTGCAGTTGTTACACTTGACTACATGTTGTTCTTTTTTCCCAGTTATGTCAATCATGGATTTGCAGACTCTGCAGGTCACCATGGGCACCCCACTTTCGGGAGAAGGAGTGTAGGGTGGAGGCAGCTCATCTGGTCCAATTGGTGAGATTGTAACTTGAGTTGCACCTGAAATGTTGTTTAACTAGATGCAGTACAAGGAATTGCTAGTAGTGCTTTCTCATCTCATAACGCACAAACATATAGGATTAGGCTGTTAAAATTATATATGTATATGCAAAATGATTATGTTTTTACTTTTACAAAAAATAAATATCTCTTCTTGCCAACTATAATTTCTGTAATTTTTAAACCATTAAATAGTATAGTATTAAGCAGATGCTAATCACATGACTAGTATTATCTCATAGCATTTTCACCTTCTGAATGCATGTTCATAAAAAGAGGAAAAGGATAAGAGTAAGACAAAACCTAATTGGCTTACTAAGGACATGAAGAGAATAAAGAACATACACTTTATGTTTAAGAAGTTTAAACTGACAGATAGGTTGGAACATTTACACAACTGTAATAAGGCTGAGAATTTGGTTAAAAAAAGAAATCAGAAAAGCCAAAAGTGCTTATGAGAAATAGCTGACTGATAATGTTAACACTAACAACAAGTACTTCTTTAAGAGCATAAAATATAAGTAAAAATGTTAGAATGGGGATTAAGCCCTTAGAGGATGCTGATAGCAAGGTTTTTGTTGAAGTCTGTGATACAGCTAAGCTTTAAATGTTCTCTTCTGTTTATACAAGAGAAAATATCAGCAATAGTCCTAACCCTCAGCATTCTATAGGAAATATTGCAATTGACCTGAATCATGTAGATACCATTCACTTTTTGGTAAGTAGGAAGAATGAAAGATTAAAAACAGATAAAGCACCAGGACCAAAAAAGGTTAATCCCTAGTTTCAAAGGCCAAATATCAGATATTGCTAAACTCTTTCATTTCTGATAGGTCAATGGAGAGTGGGCAAGTACCCAAGAGACGGAGAGTTATGTTATACCTATCTTTAAAGGGAGTGATAAAAGTTATCCTGGAAATTGTATGCCTGTTAGTCTTACTTTTGTAGTAGGAAAAATTCTAGAGTCAGATAAAGCAAGCTTTAAAACATATTTAGTGAAATATGATATAATTAATAAAAACTAACATGGATTCACCAGTGAGAAATCACGCCTGACCTGTAATGTTTTGAGGATGCTACCTGTTATCTAGAGACTAGAATATGCAAAGGGTGTGAACTTACTGCACTTAGATTTTTAAAAAGCTTCTGATAAGATGCCCACTTAAAAGCCTAGCTAAGAAAAACACATCAGCAATGGTTACATTGGACAGTACATTAGTTAAATGGGAAAAAGCAAAAAGTTATTTATAGAATCTCATCAAACTGGCCCCTTGTTATTATAGAACACCTCAGGATTCAGTGTTTTCACCTTGGATTTTTTATTTTTACACTGATGATATTGGTGGATTTATTAGCAAATCAGTAGTTTGCTGATAAAATTACACTCTTGAGTATTCTGGCTGTATAAAGAATGACAAGTTATTACAGAATGACTTAATCAAATATTTTATAAATGACCTTAAATTATGTTCAAGAAACATTAAATCTATGCTAGTGCCTAAAGCTATTATTTGTATGTTCTGTAAGTCAAGTATACTGTTATTTGTTTATTGTAACTTTCAGTTTCAGTATTGGTTAGAATCTTTCATAGATCTAATTTTATTATTCTTAATTTTGTCATTATACTTTATTGCAGATTGTTTTGCATTTTTAGCTTAATACATGTATTTAGGACTAACCCAAGTCTCCTAAGTTGGCTAAACCTTCCAAGATATTACTTGGTTTACAGCTGAAAATATCATTAACAGTGAGGGACCTAACTGGTGAAACAAAACATTCTAATCTTTATAAGTAAGCAAGTAAAAAAAAAGTGTATTCAATTAGCTAAACTACTTGACCAGTTGATTTCTATTTTCATTCTAATTTCTAAGTAGGTAGCTTGTTCTGAACAGAAGTTCATATTAATTATAGTAAGAGCATTTGGGTTATCATAATTTTTTATCAAACATTTAATATAGATGGGAACCAACTCAATAATATGCTTAAAGAAACGAATCTTGGATATTTGTGGGTAAGACACTCAAAACATCTCAGCAATGTCCTGTTGCTATTACTAGTACTAGTAAAACTAATAAAATTCTAAGGTATATTTATAGATGTATTAAAAGGCAAAATTATCTTTCTATACATATCAGTATATAATTTTATTAGCCTTACTTGAAATACTGTGTACAATTTCAGTCTTATCTAAAAGATATTAACTTATTCAAAAGGATTCAGAGGAGGACTACTAGTAGTAGGATGTTTCTGGGGATGGAAAGTCATCATACAATTTACAGAGGGTAAGTTAAGGTGTCTTAGCTTATTTGCACTTGAGAAAAGAAAGAAAAGTAATAGGTAATCTTATTGAAGTTTGCAAGATAATCCAGATGATCAATGCACAAATGCCTCTGACCTTCTTTATGCTATGATCTGAAAGGACACAAGTTTTTTAAGATTTGAAGAAGACAGGTTATAGGCTCTAGTTTAACTTAACTCTTAAGTCTGTTTTATTTTTCAACAAGATAAGACTAACTAATGACAAAGTAATGAGTCGTCATTAACACAATAGCAGTTCTCAATAGTTGAGACCAGCACTTAGATTTTAGAATTGAAGTTTGAGAACTGTATTAGATTGAGATAAATCAGTGACTTCCTCAGAAATAAAAGGTGGGTTTGAATTTTTATTTGTCTCAGTGGTGGATGTGCAGTCTTATACTTGTAGTTGAAACCTGAACGACCAAACGATCAGCTTGTTGCTACTGCTAGTAGCAGTACTAGTAGCACTCAGTAATCAGTAGTACCAACTAGTACACATTAATCCCTTACCAATAGTTAATTCGGTTTTTAATCCGCAAAAAACTGTGCTTTATACTGAATAGCGACTGACCTGACTCTTGTACATCCCCACTGTAAGAAGATGCAGAATGGGTATGTTCATTTTGTAACAAAGGAGCCGATTCATCTTGTTCGTTTTTGTCCATGATCTCGTCTGCACCGTTTTTGTTATCGATCACCTGACATAAGCCACCTGGAAAGAAAGTTATTTATCATAACTAATACGCATAACTGAAACAATTTAAATATAAGTTACAATAACCGACAGAACAGATGTAAGGGTCTCTTCCTCCTTCTCCTCCCTCCTGTTTTTTTTTTTTTTTGACAAAGCATAAAGTAAGGAATAATATATTTTATTTTTGTACTTTAAGGCATAATTATTTTTTTTACTATTTTGCGTTTATATGTTACGTTCAATAGTTTTGCAAATTAAATATCAATAGTATTGTTTTGACAATTGATTTAATATATGGTTATTCGAAAATCGAACTGAAAACGTTTCATTTTCAAGAATAACAGATAACACGAGAGCAAGGGAGGGGGCAGGTGCCCTTTTCTCCTGGAATTTGAAAAGTAAGGCCTACCATATCAAATCCACCCCATATGAGGAACTGTAATAACTGTTGATTCTTAAATCACAGACGCCTACCAAGAACATTTTTCCTCACAACTAGATAATACACCGCAATCGTCTATATGTTAAGACACAAAACAACTAAACTCAGAAGAGAGCATTACAACATTTCTTGGTATCAGCACAAAGCAGTCTTATTTGTGTGGACAAGTAGAGCCAGTGGAAACACTAACAATGAACATTGAACAGTATTGCAGCATCGAAAAACCCATATCTGACGAATTGAAATTTCAACTGTTTACGGACTGTTAGACATATTTGACTTTAAACAATACATTACAGGCCAAAAAATGTTTCTCTATGCTTAGTTTAACCAGCAGTCTCATTATTCACCATCTCTGAAAATAGCTCTTTATCGGTACTGTATTTTATTTCCTGAGAAAATGACGCGCGGAATACAAGGCACATTCGTTACTGAACAAATGAAATAAAAATACTTTGTTCATACCCTCTGTGCATAATGACTATTTTCTCAGATTGGTCGGCTTCTAATTGTTCTAATTGCCTGTAGGCTGGCAGTTGGGGTTAATGACAGCAAAATGATATGCAGGTAATAACGCAAAAGTGCAAAAAGAGAAATTGAGTATATATCCCAAATTTAAAATCGGACCAAATTTCTAGTTTGGTACCCCACATTCCTTAGATTACATATCTCAACCATTGTTCTACAAATATAAACTGAATCATCCCAAGCCAATCTGTACAGATTTATGTAATATCAGTTTCTGGGGCAATTTCTAAGAAAGTTTATACAGAAACATGTACATGTCAGCTAATTGAGACTTACGAACATGAGTTTCTTCATGCAGTTTGTCTGCTTATTTATTTGTAAGTTCCACGAAAAGTTACACAAGAGATGTTTGCACTACCTATTCCTCATTTTGAAATAATAGACTAGAATGAAAGCACCCACACTAGCTCTTGGGCTACTTTAATCAAATATTAAAATGTTACCCCAAAATGCAATCATATGGTCCTAAAGTGTGGAGCATATTTTTATAACACTGAGCTGCGAATCCAGGCACAAGAATCCCTATGAAGAAATCACATGTATCTAAAAAAAAGTTATCGGAAACGAATAGTGATGTCTTACATAATGTACTCTTGCACAGAAACACTGTGAAGAGAGATAGACAAGGATTAGTGGTTAAGAAACCAGACTTTGAAGGTCTGTGATTCACGTCACGTTTCAAAATCACATTCCACACTGTATAGCCGTGAATGCCTTATAAGCGTGTTGGTCAAATTCTTTGTTCATCTAGAGTAGTTCCAGAGTTGGCAGTAGGTGTTGTTGACTGGTTGCCTTCCCTTTCGTCTCTCATTTCAAAAGCCGATGTTCAGATAGTCTTTATGAAACTTTGTGTGAATATTTAAAGCAAACAAATAAACATTATTAAGAAATAAAAAATAAATATCAAGCCCAGTCTAGCATTAAATTCACCAGCTGTCACTGAGTTGGCCCAGCATGGCCAGATGATTAGTGTGCTCGACTCACAATCTGAGGGTCACGGATTCGAATCCCCCTCCCACCAAATATGCTCGCCCTTTCAGCCGTGAGGACGTTATAATGTGACGGTCAATCTCACTATTCATTGGTAAAAGAGTAGCCCAAGAATTGGCGATGGGTAGTGATGACTAGCTGCCTTCCCTCTACTCTTGCACTACTAAATTAGGGACGGCTAGCACAGATAGCCCTCGTGTAGCTTTGCGCGAAATTCAAAAATAAACAAACAAACAAGTCATTGAGTTATACTTTTTTTTTCTAAATTCCACCCCTCATCAGTAACTCTGGACAAGGTCTGACTGAAAAGGAAAAGTAATGTCTTATAAAATTCACTAGTGCTCAAGAATACTTAAGAAGATACTACAGATAAGTAATTAAAGGTATCAAAAACTAAGGGTAAAATCCTATAAGATTCACTCGTGTATATGTATTACTGTGAAAATCCACAGAAGCGAAAGTATTTCCTCTACTTTCTCATTCTTGATGGTTAAATAGACAGATGCTGATATTTACTGGATTGATGATTGTCTGATAGCAAAATGGTGGTGATTAAAAGCCCTACTGGCTCCTAACTCTCGAGAATTAGCCTGTTGGTTGTGATTTATAGAATGGTTACTGTTTTCTTAAAGTAATCCTTCATGGAACTTTATTCTGCATTTGCACGTTCGGCTTGTTGTTTACAATATTTGTTTGCAATATTACTGCTGTACTTGAAGATACTGTTGCGTCAGCGAGTCACATGACCACGTGAC